AATACAATACTTTTGAAGGTCTATATGAATGGTACCAGTGGCTACATTTAGGATATTAGCTAACTAAGGTCCAGACTTCCTACACGGTCTGGAAAAATATGGAATTTAAGTATTTTCCAGGTCTAGGTAAGTATTAAAAAAGAAAATAGAGAATATTTGTATTTCCAGTTTTTATACCCTACCCTGTTGTCTAAAAGGTTACAGGCAAAATAAAGGTGAAACACCAGGAACCAGGAATTAATAAATGTTAAGATTGACTCTCCAAAAAACAAGTAAACCAAAAAGAAGTTTGTCAGGAGAGAAAAGAAATAAAGCAGAGCGGCTCTTAAGTTTCAAAATAAAACGTAAAAAGTTGTCAAATAAAATTGGAGCAACTGAAAGACTATCTAGATATTTTCCTTAAGAGCCTTTCTAGTCATACAGACCGCTTAAAGCACTTTACACTAGAGACACATTCACCCAATCACATTCAAGCACAGATTATTAGGAAACTTGAGGTTAAGTGCCTTGCTCAGGGGAACATCAACACATGACAGGAGGAAGCTGGAATCAAACCCCCAACTTACCAACCTTAAAACAACTACACCCACCGAGTTACGGTCAACGTCCAGAAAACAATAAGCATTACAATTTATTAATGACTTAAAACCGTGTTTATTTAACTATATAATGTAAATGTCTACATTAAATGAATAGACAGTATCACAACAGCCTGATGTCTAGCATAATTGCTAAAGAGCTCAGCCAGCAGAGGACGCTGTTGTCTTTGGCATACATTTCTTCCAGCTGTAGGAAGACCGACGATGGGAGGGAGGACAGGCACATTTAAAACCTCCTCTTCTGTTCACACACAAATGAGAGCAGCCCCCATTCTTCTGGTTGCACTCATTAATATCTGAAAAAGGCAAACAAGAAATGTTAATAAAACAAACAAAAAAACATGCATCTATAAGGTTACTTCTGCACCAACTCATGTAATGTTGAAATTTTAGTTTAGCTGCATACATACATTTGTGTAATTTCAGGAAACAAAAAGTAATTTTGCCATTTTGCGATACTGGTTTAAGCTTACTTTAACCAGCCCTTCTCATAAAGACGCCTAACTACAATAACCTTTGCAGTGTCGCCCGTCTCTTTGCAGTGTGTATCCTCGGGGGCAGATACAGCGGTGGGATCCTGGCAGGTTGATGCACTGCCATTCACACATATTCTCCAGGCACTCGTTTATATCTGACAACACACAGACATCCCTCCAGTGTGGACAAAAATTAAACAGACACATTGTACATCGAGTTTATTTTTGTACTCATACCTACACAGTCTTGTTTTGTATTTTGTCCAGTTGTATTCTTAGGTGGTGTGACTGGTTTCTTCCTGTATCCAGGTGGACACTCTGCAAAGCAGCTGTGTCCATCTCCTGCCAAGATGTGGCCAGAAGAGCAGGAGCATCTGTAGGATCCTTGGGAGTTGTGACACCGCTGCATACAGGGCCCGAGCTCATTATTAACTGCACATTCATCTATATCTGGATCAGATAGGAAGGTTTAGGACCATGTTGGCATACACGGATATTTAAACGTTTGGACAATGTCTCTGTTACTCTGAACAGCTTTGCAAGTAAGAGATTGCCAAAATGCATCTAGTTATATTCCAGGAAATCTTGAAGGAGACTGTCCAGCTTTCAGTATGAGACATTGAACTCTAGTGCTTTTGGGTATTGCAGCAATGATCTAAACACCATCATCAAATCCACCTCTGAATGGATGAACAGAACAAAATTTAAGGATTTGCAAAGGCCTAGTCAAAGTCCAGACCGAAATTCAATAAAGATGAAGTGGCATAACTTTAAACAGACCTTTCATGCTCAAAGAACTCTCCAAAATGACTCAATTCAAATAGTTCTACATACAAGAATGGGCAAATTCTATTGCAAAATTGCTTTATGGCAATAGCCTTTAGGTTTTGGGGGCACTTAATTTTCTGTCAGGACCCGGATGGTTAGAGCAGCTTTTTCCCCTAAAAAATAAAAAATCATTTGAGAACTGTGTTTTGCATTTACTCTAGATTTTTTTAAATGAGTTTGATGATCTGAAACATTTAAATGTGATAAAAAGCAAAAACAGAAGTCTGTAAGGGGCAAATACCTTTTCACTGGATGCTACCGTTGGGTACTACAGCTCAGTATAATATTTAGTAAATGCTTCCCCACCTTGGCAGTGGCCATCTGCACTCAGCTGGCTGAAGCCATCTGGACATGAGCAGTGGAAGCTCCCAGGAGTGTTAACACAGCCAAACATACAACCTGTGACTGCTGCAGGCAGCAGGCACTCGTCTACATCTGGAAAGATGTGGAGAAAAATAATTTGTTTACCAGGGAAATGTCACAAACACAAAGTACACACAGTCATTGGCGCACCGGTGCAGGAGGCCGGGTCAGGAGCTGGCTGGTACCCGACATGACAGCTGCACCTGAAGGAGCCAAATGTGTTGATGCAGCTCTGCTGACACTGATGGTGCCCCTCTGCACACTCATCCAAATCTACATCCAGAGAAACACATAACATTAACATTCAGCGCAGAGTCCAAACAATAATAAATCATTTACACTTGCACTCAGTTAGTTGGTATATTAGAAAAAAATACACATAGCTGGTTAAGAGCCACTGACAGAGAGATACACTGCTTGCAGGTGAAGATATAGAGAAGCAAAACATGACAGGTTTTATTCTGAAACCTCTCAAATGTGTGTCCATGATGACCTGCTGTTATGGCCTCTAATGAGTAAACCATAACACAGATGTTTTCCTGCATCCTGTCCCCCAGACAGGAAACGGAGATATGCATTTCTCCAACCTCATCTCTCTCTGTGTTTTGGATCTTTCTCTCTGTGCTGAGGACCCAAATAATGTCAGGCTGTCAGGGAATAGGTATGTGTGTAAAAGCACCAGGTGTCTAAGTGCTACAACGATCTCCTAAATCTCTCAGCTTATTTGGGGGGGTTGTCTGTGAACCTTAAGACATCAAACGTCCTAACAAGAAGGAATAGGTTGTCCACTTGCATTGTGAAGATTTGCTTTATTGCAGGAACATGCCTCAGTTGTTAAAAGTAAGTACCAGCTAGGATCAGAATGCAAAAAAAAAAAAAGAGAAATCAGGAAAAATCAGGTAAAAACAGGACTGAGGTGGCACAGGTTCTGATTTGTGTCTCAGAGTTCCGGTTGTGTTTTGATGAGTAAGAGCAGAGCTAGCAACAGCCTCCATTGTTAACGGAACATGGTGTCAACTCTTAAAAAAAAAAAAAAAAGAAGTGACTGGATTATCTGTGACAGATTAACAGCATGAGGGAAACCATTTTTTTCAAGCACACACTAAAACCGTCATAAAATGCAACTCCACAAGAACTGACAGAATTCATTAAATGGTAAATATATGTTGGGGTCATCCATTTTGGTCAGACAGACCGACTAGGCTGCGCAGTTCGACATTTACAGCTCTAATGTCACCTGGGATTTTAAAACCCGCAGAAACCAAACTTTCGTTGCCATTTCCAGCATGTCTCAGGGGTGACGCAACGGAGGTGCATATCTAGAGACAAAAGCTTGCAGGAGAACTTGTCCTCCACACGGCCATTCCCGGAAGAGCTTGAAAGCTGGAAATCTGTCTGATGCAAGAAGGTCAGAAGATTCATAACTGATCGAAGACCCCGCCCACACTCCAGCGCAGGGGAAAACCCACAGAGGTGTTTCCAAGGAGACGAGTTTTCCTCCTTTTTCAGTGGACTAAACGGTTCTTCATATTTTCCCCGTTCTGGAAGGAATGAGAAGTTTACGTTTATGAGCTGATCAGTGACACTCTGGTTCCCCCCTCCCTTTTTATATTAAATTGGATAGGTGTATTTAGAAGGTCTGGGCAGGATGAGGCACAGTTAAGGTGATTTAGAATCACCAGTAGTTAATCCAAGGTATTAACTTGTTGCATGCAATACTAACTGAAGTGTTTTATGCTGAGCTGTTTTGATTTGCTGTGCGGCTGAATCACGGAGCGATCAGCAAGGTTCATGTTTTTGTCCGGCTGGTCCCACATCAGCCAGGAGTTGGAAGATGGACTTTTAAACCTTTCCCATTCAGAACAGCTGCGTCTGGGCCTCTGGCCTGACCACTCCTTTGCCCCAGTTTTGTTACTGGAGATTTTTCACCGAGTTCCCGCCTCAGAGTTTTATGACCCTTTGTTCGAGATTTGGGGCGATCAGCTTTTAGTGGCTAAAGTGGCTAAATCGCCGCCATCAAGACGCATCAGCGCACGAAGAAGGCTGCCCTGTAAAGTGCTTCACTTTCCAAGTAAACCCAAATTGCACATTTTGTCCATAAAACTGCTGGTTTGATCTTCGTAGACACTCAATGCACATATATTTTCTTTTATTATTTTTTTTAGATAGTCATTTTACTCCCTTCTGTAGAATGGTGCATATTTAGTTACGTGAAGATTTTTGGACCAGAATAGTAACTGTATTGCTATATGATCAATAAATGTTCAAATATATTTAAAGAGGAGCATTTGTGTTTATTTTGTGTAAGAGTGATTCATCTGTCAAAATAACGTCAAAGTTCCCCCACTGATCTGTTAGGCAGCTGATTAAACAGTGACATTTAGCTTGGTTTTGGTTAATAACTGTCAATTATTAATGAAAATTAACTAATTGTAATTATTAAGTGCATTGAGCCCATAATCACAACACCAGAGGACATCTCTGATTTCTATTCGTAAGCAATAATTTTGGCTAAGAAAGCGATTTTCGTGAATTATGATTTTTAATTATAATTCTTGATAAATATTCATTAATCAATAACCATAATCCTTATATATATAGCGTTGTTTTACTCAAATTACTTTACACTAGAGCCACATTCACCCAGTTGCACTCACAAACATGCACACATTTATACACCGACAGACTGGTAGGCAACATGGAGTTAAGTGCCTTGCCCAGGGGAACATCAACATGTTGCAGGAGGAAGCTCAAACCCTCAACCTTCAGACTGCAAGACAACAACTCTACCAACTGAGCCACAGTCGCCCCATCAATAGTTTAAATGATCAAACTCACCTGGACTGTTGGATTTTAACACTTGATACAACAACCAAATGTTACAATGCAGTTTTTTAAATAGTTTTTCTTCTCAACTTAATGATTTCACCATGAGAATATTTGCAAAGCACCTTTCTTAAGGTCAGATTGCACATATCAAACAAACTGAGCAGTCTTCTTACATTATAATCTGCACATTTTAAACAATCAACCAACAAGCCAGTACAAGACAATAATTGGCTAAAAGTGGTCTTTAAAGAGACAGGAGCTAAAATAAATGAGTTATGAGACAAGGTTAAAATGATTTGAGCATTATGAGAAAAATAATGTGGTTCTTGAACTTTTTAGGCAATCAATTGTTTTGTAAACCTCTAAAATAAAATGATAAATCTGCATATCAGAAGAGATTTTGGCAGAAACAAGTAAAGAAAAACAACTTTCCTACATTTAAACAAAAAATAGAAAACACTTGAATGAAACTTTAAAAACATACCAATGCCCAATCATTTGTAATACAAGTATAAACTAATAATTTTTATCGATGTGAAAAAACCCCCCTAATGTTCTCAATTATATTTTATTCTTATTGTTGCTTTAAAACAAAAGACAATGAAAAGATAATATTCTGGCCAAGTAAATGTAAAAAACAACTAATTATGCATTCAATGAGTTAAAAATCCAAAACGAACAAAGACATGAACATAACTGTGAATAAAAACGGTTACATTTTACATGCTCATAAATTTCAACTAAAAATCCACATTAGAAATATTAAGATAATAATAATAAAAAAAATAAACAACATAATTAAAAGTTGGTAAACTGAACTGGGTCTGGCTAATTAAATTCTGCTAAATTTGCTGAAAGTTGAAATTTTTATGTCCTCTAAAGTTTATTATGGACTAGTTTGCTTGAGAAATTTTTAGAGTTCAGTAAGTAATAATAAAAGAACAATCCCATCACCTACCTAGACAGATCGGTGTGACTCCACTCCAGGCGCCTCCTGGCTGGCAGTAGCTGTTCACGTCTCCAAGAGCCAGGGTATAGCCGGTGTAGCAGGCGTACTGGATGTAATATTTAAACTCACTGGGACCCGGGTTCTCTAGATTATGGAAGTAAAAAGTCCCATGAAGAGGCACAGGTGGGTATGAGCACATAGTTCGAAAATGCACTACTGGCTTGGAGGTGCTGGTCAGTGTGAGGTTGTGAAATTCCTTCCAGAGGGATCTCAAGTCAGTTGAGGTGGAGATGTTTGAAGGAAAGGTGATGTTACTGGAGATCTGTCTGTTAAAACTAGAATGGCTGGAACTGGGAGCAGAAGAGGGTGAGGTGGCAGGTGATGAAGCCAGGGAAGAACTTGTGGACAGGTACAAAACTTCACCTGCAGGTGCTGGAGTAACATCCAGAAAAATAGGAGCAGCTGGTGTAGATGTGGATGAAAGAGGTGGCTCAGAAAATGGCAAAAGCTCTGTTTGATGAGCAGACCAGACAGTGGAAGGGAAATTATTTTCTGCGGACAACATTTGTTTAACTTTATCCAAACTTCTTGCTGAATGTGGCGTTTGCACCACTGAGCCAAACCTCCAGGTTCCTTGAGTTGTTTCTATCTCATCGCTGGAAAACTGAGTGTGCTTCATGAGGTCAGCACCAGGGTTTGTTAGGTTATTTCTTTCATTATCAAACATATTGAATACTGCATGAAGCAACTGATCAAATTTGATGTCTGCTTCTTTGGAAGCCCCGTTGCTGAGATCATTGGACAGGGAATGTTGGTGGTTCTTTGAAGCTGCAGAAATCTGGAGGTTCTGACGTGCGTTTAAGTTGTGCAGACTGTTGACTGAAACTGAGCTCATAATGTCTGCCTCTAAAACGAAGAAAAAAAACACAAGAATCAAATTTTAATTAATATAATAACATGGGATTATGTCTTGAAATAGTCAGAGAAACCAGAAACAGATGTTTCCACTTTTACCTTTGCAGACAGGCTTTGTGCTATTCCAGGTGTGGCCCTTGCAGTATATCATTGAAGGGCCATATAAGCGAAAGCCACTATTACAGCTGAACCCTGCCCAGGAGCCATCCTCATTCATCCTGCTCGTCCCGTGGATAATCAAGCCTGGGTGGGAGCAGCCAGAACCTGAACAGGTGGTGTTAATAATGTAAGATGTTAAGCAATATGCTATTCTTTCGATAAAATTCTAAATAATTTGCAAGTTCTGACTACCTCTCTCCTCCTCCAGAACTTCAAATTAAACCAATATATATAGAGATTAAAATCATTAAGAAAATTAAACGTGTTACCAACACAAACCGGGAGGTCTCGAGACCATTGTCCAGACACACAGCTGTTGGTTTTGTGTCCATGAAGCTTGTATCCCGGATGGCAGCGAAAGATCACCATGAGTCCACCATACCGGAAAAATGTCTGTCCATTGTCCAGATTCCTAAATTTACTGCATCCCGTATCTCCAAACACTACACACAGTTTCAGAGTCAGCGCATAAAAAAACACAGGTTTCCTCAAAACCTAACAACTTTAGCTTCAAGAAATACCTGAAAGATGGACCGAACCAAAGATGACCAGTGCCACCAGTAATCCCATCTGAGATCCCATCTGACTGCGTGCTGAGGATAACACTGTAATCATCTGTGCTGCAGCACTGCTCTGAAAATTTGAACTGGAATGATGGGAGGAGCAGGGGGCAAAAAAACACTTTCAGAGTGAAAGTAGGAAGCGTTTGAAAAAGTAGGAACTAGAAAAATGAGAATCCCAGAGGTATCGCATGGAAAGAAGGAAGAGAGGAGGAAGTGAAGCAATGGCACAAGTACTAAATACAGATACAGAAGCAACTAAATCTTTTTATAGCTTTTTTTGCAAGTACCAGACATCTCTTAATATAAAAGTGGCGGTATGACAATAAGCTTTGCTCAAACAGTCAAACTGACAAATTTTAACCCCACCCCCGTTTCTCTGTAAATATCTGTGGCCTAATGTATCTAATTTGTGTTTGTGCATGTGTAAAAACTGCTGCCACCAGCTTCAAAACACTCCAAACCCGTTACTTTCCCAGGCTGACAGGATGGGTCTGTTTAACATCTGGCTCTGCTTGTAATTACAGAGTTAGAAAACCAGAGTAAAGGAGCCCATTAAAACACAAGCATGCACCAAAGTAGTCACGTTAAAACACATGCGAAAAACAAACATGGTGGGTTCACAGACAGCAATTTTATTCATTTGTGGGAAATGTAATTTGAGCTGAAACAATACTTCTGGATTTGTAGGCTTCATCTTTTTGCTGATTTTTTTTTTTTAAATACAGATGTTGCACACTAACAGCAAACATTAAAAGAACTTTTAAATCAACACCTTCTGTCTGAACTGAAATTTACAGCCGTTTGGAGGATTTTCACACTGAAAGAACACTGTGCCAGCAATAAAGCATGGTGGTGGTAGCATCATGCTGTGCGACTGTTTCCCAGCCAATGCATTGCAGGAGGACTACCTACAAATGTTTGAACTTCATCTCAAATCAACAGCTGCAGGAGGCTACACACCACTGTTAGAATTCCAGGTTTATAAATTATTAAAAATGAAATTGTTATAAAAAATTTAAAAAGTTTTTTCAAGTTGAATATAATGCATATCCTGTACACTTCAACTGAAAAATGTTAAAACTGGTAAAGGGTAAAATTCAAAACATAAAAAGGTGCAATAACATAATTTTTCGAGTGTGCACATTTTTGATCTAATACTTTGTTAAAGCTAATTTTGATTCAATTTTAGTATTCAATCTTCTCGAGTTCACACCTGAGATTATAGCGAGTGTGATGGACCTGTAATGAACTTCAGCTGTCCTTCTTGGGACCTTTCTGACATTTCCTTCTTTGGATCATTTCTCCTAAGTGCGCAGAGCTCCTCTTTAAACAAATGTTCAAACTATTTTTATTGTCAGGAGAACACTGAAAGGTGTCAGCAATTTATGTTGAGTACTGGTTGCGTCGCACATGTGACAGACTGACATTTTCTCCATATTTCTGTACTAAGAAGTAACTCTGCAAGACAGAAGGCTCTAAAACATCCAGGTCTGGGTAAAATCTCCCAAAACCTTGTAGAAGCATTATATTCTGGGGTTACTCTGTTCATATGGTTTTGGTTAAGGTGGGTGAAATTGTGAACACTTTCAAATTCCAGTCAGCTTTGACCCAAACTATCAAGGTGTCTGCTAGAAAGCTGAAGATGAAGAGGGGCTTCTTCCTTTCAGTATTGCAGTGAGACTAAGCTTCTGTCCAAATCAACAGAAGAATGTTTCACCAGAAGAAAACTATGATTGTTGAATGACCTAACCAGAGTCCAGAGCCAAGTCTAACAGAAATCTGTTAGATCATCTAAAGGTCACGGGACAAGAGGTGTCTGCGACTGTGGCTCGGTGGGAAAAGTAGTTGTTCTTCAATCCGAAAGTCGCTGGTTTAGTTTCAGCTTCATCCCCTGTCACATGTTGATGTGCCACTGAGCAAGGCACTATTGGTGTATAGATATTTGTGCTTTGGTGTCTGCGACTGGGTGAATGTGGCTCTAGCGTAAAGGGCTTTGAGTGGTCAAAGTGACTAGAAATGTACTTTATGAATTTAGTCCATTTACAATCTGCTAGAGCTTGTGTCAGGCCAGGTGTGCAGAAACCTAATCAGGATGTGAAAGGGTGACCTATTCCTGTTAAGCAACGCAATTAAGCTGAAAGGTGGTTTAGTAAAGTATTAAAGTGTGTTCAAACTTTTGACACCAGGTTATGTCTGCTAATGGACTTGTTTTTTTTTTTTCAGTTGAATTGTGGTGAACTTGTGTCACATTAAAAGTGGACAAACTTTGGAAATCGTTTATCATGGTCTCATTTTTAAGTTTCAAAAACCTGGAATCTCAACAGGGGTATGTAGAATTTTGAAAACAAGTATAATAAAAAGTCTCTTGATAGCCACAAAAAGCAAGTGGAACA